TTCACATAGATCATATGATTATTATTATTATCGTCCAACGTAATATAAAAATATTGGTTGTTAATATACTAAACATGGAAATCTATACGGAGTTTGCAAAATGTTTGATGTTAAGTTTCAAAACTTTTGGCTAAAATTTGGAGGTGATTTGCAGCATGTTTTTTAGACCTGTAAACCTGTGTTAGGATTGGGTTATACTTCCTACCCCTATGACAATTGGTTTGTGCTGCTTCCTCCTACCCAAATCAGCTTGATAACCCTAGGATCACACTAACATGATTTATAGCCACACAAGACACACTCTGAGTCTCCTGGAAGGGTGAGTGCACTGTGTCCCTTCTCTTTTGGCAGCTTAAAGTGGAAGTAAACCCACATTTGTATCTTTTACCTACAGGTAAGTTTATAATAAAGTTTACCTGTAGGTAAAATTAATATCTCCTAAACGTACAACGTTTAGGAGATAATTGCTTTTTTTAACAGCTGGCGCATGCATTCTGAAGGAACGGCATACCTGTGCCATTCCTTCAGAGCACTGTGCCGTGGCCCGAGACTCCCTCATGCATGAGGGGAGTGACGTCATAGTAGCTTGGCTAGTCAGATGGCCGAACCTCATGAACCCTGAAGGAAGACCCGGTGAAGATGGAAGCCTCTGCAGCGGGGATAGCGCATCGCTGGAGATCTTCATTTTAAGGTAAGTCCTTCATAATGTGCTAGTTTGCGATGCATACTAGCACATTATGATATTATCTTGCAGGGGATTTTTTTTTTTTTTTTTGCGAGCTTCGGTTTACTACTGCTTTAAGTTGATTGGCTGAACTGAAAGTACACAAACCAATATTCTAATAATTAAAATGAACAAACTGGGGCAGCAGGAATGGAATATAGTATTTTACATATGGATGTGTTACTGACAGTCAGAAACATAGTGTGTTTCTGAGTGTATGCCTCCTCCAGAAACTAGTCCATGACCTATAATGGTTATGCAGAAATTTGTCTCTGCCTTTGTTCAGGTAAAATACCTAAGAGGGATAAAGGGAAATCCAACTAATTAAATAACATCATCATTTTTCATAGTATCTAACATACTGCACAAACCATTGGCACTATATAAATCATGTGTAATAATAACAATAACATTTTAACCTAATGAAAAAATAGCAGCACAACAATTAGTCTGTGCAATTTACTTCACATTAAGATGTAACAGAGTGACATTTTAGGGACACGCAGATCATTATTGCCAAGGACCTTGATAAAGGAGTCCTGTATGGCCTTGAAATATTGATCTGCTACATCAGCATGTGAACATATTCGTGTAAACAAGCAGCAGATTGCTGGCCTTTTCTTCTATTTGCTTTCAATGCCACCACTGTTGAGATTCTAAGGTTCCAAATGAAGGCATGTGGTATAGGAACACATGAAATTTTAACTTAAGTACATTCCTTTGTTTGTTTAATATTTCAAAAGGCAAACTACTTCTTAGAACGTTTTTTTTTAATATATACCAAACAGATTTTTAAGGCACGCACACAAAGAAATGTTAAAAAAGCAATTATAAATTATGTTATTTATATAAAAAGAAATTAAAATATGATTTTATATTTGCATAATTAAAAGACAGTCCATTTGGTATATATATTAAAACTTTTTTCTAAGAAATTATTCATTAGGATGTGGCACTCTATATAATTAAGTCCCTAATTTAAAAAAAAGCAAACTATGTCAACAAGCTTATGAGAAACACCAAGGATGCTGTAGTACTGAACAATCTTGCCTTCCTCAGAGTCTACCCCAAATATCTGAATGGAGCTTATATGTTCTGCTAATGTTAGTATGAGTTTCTTGCAAGGTGTTTCATTTTTTTCTCACAGTTCAACAATATATTAGTTTTTACCTAAACTTGGCACTAGTATGGCTGCCTGTATGGGCCCCTGTAGCAGGGACATTAGTCTATAAGTTTCAACAAGGAAATAGGCTAATGTGAAGGGTGTTATGTGCTCTGTGTTTTTGGATTTCAGCTAATTTCATCTGGATTTAAATGAAAGACAACAGAGGATCAATTTACAGTAAAGAGATTCTAGTTATCCTATTTTTCTTTGCAAGTTAAAAAAAGAAGTTAAACTTTTACATAAATATATCTGATATTTGAAAAGGGACCCTATATGTGTGGAGTTGTAAGAAGTAGTTTTGCATTGGAGAGTGCACATAGAAAAGTATTAATGGGGATGGAGGCTGGGCACAAAAATTCAGAATAAGGGATTATTCAATTCAAATGTAATACAATATAAACTATCAGCAATCAAGTCTGTTTAAAAAATATGACTATGTACTAAAGTGAAATCTAGCTGATTTGTTTGCCTAGCTGCTTTATGCTGATTATTATCAACTTTCTCTGTATTGCCTCTTTATTGGTTTCTCAAATATCATAGTGATTTCCCAGTATCTTGTAAAACTGCCTTCCACAGTTTTCTGTATACCAGAGAATATCCTTTACTACAATATACAGAATGGTTTCTTTTGGAATTTAAATCCATCACTTTGTTCAATGTAACAATTTGTCTAGCTTTTGTAATGATATACTGTAGCTGTTCTCAGCTGTTAGATTCTCCCTAATGTAGTTTGCCTCCTAGACCAGGACTAGTTCCACCTTAGTTTAAGGAGGTCCCAGGTTAAAGGTGATAGTAGGTGTGGTCTGTGATCAAAATGTAAAATATTGATCAAAAGAGGGGAGATTGTAAAGGATATTTGTAAATTCTCTATAAAACTTTTATTTTTTATTTTGTATGCTTTGCTTACGTATTGTACACTGCACTCCATGTGCACACGGCACTAATAATGTTTTCATTGCGTTTCCTTCAAGTCCTGATTACAAATTAGCCTGCCTATGTAACGCCCCTTGTTACCATAAAAGTACAATTGTAATATTAATGTGATACCTACATAATCATGTGTATAAAAAACTTCAAACACGCTGAATTAACAGAAGAGTGATTTGGAAAATGCCAAGTGTATCTTTTTGTGTCTGTTCCCTACTGCAGAAGTTATTATTCATTTAGAACCAGTAATCAATATGAGGATATGAGTTGCCTACCTCTAAAATTTTCAGAATTAAAGTCCAGAACACATCTACTAAGAAAAGGTGTACCTATTGCAAAATCTTCTGTTTTTAGCCTTGGATAGAGTAGGGATATATTATATCTTATTATTATAACCTCTGTTAGGTGTTACTGATATCCCGGGTTCCCTTCACTCACTGTTCCGTGGACAATCTTTTTATCAGACAGGAAGTGAAAGGAATTCTCCAACAACACAGACGGGAGTAAAAATGTATTTTTTACGTTAAGTGGGGGAACACTTTCTGTTTGGTTAAAGGTTGTCCCCAGAACAAAAAAAGGGAAAATCTTCCCAGATAGCAGTAAAGTCTGTTGGGGGATCTAACCCTTCTCCACTCTATCCAAAACTAAAAAAAAATTGGGGTAAAGAAACTTTAATAATTGCACAAAGCAACTTTTGTAACACTAATGAAAAAGAAATTCTGAGTTTTATTTGGGTAATGTTTGGGGTATAGTATACTTACCTGTACTCCTCCAAATCCATTTGGTGCCAGGTATCTTTCACACTCTGCTGCAATGTCATCCCATCTCCACTCAAATAAGTGGACAATTGATGTTCGTCCAGCTCTTGTGTTGGGATTGTATTGGGCTGAGCAAAGCCCAACTGCCACCAAAAGAACTAGAAGCTTCATCCTGCCTGCAAATGTGCCAACATGCTCTCATTCTGGTCTTATAAATGGTGGGTGTTTCATAACTGTGTCAATTGACCACCTGTGATTGTTTATAGTGATATAAGTATCCAGGTGATGATATTATGGAAATTCCCATGAGCAGGTTTGTTTTTCTCAAATGCATGAAGTTTTTGCAACAGATAAACAGGGCAAATAGAGTTCATTAAAAAAAATTTGCCCTAATACTTGCAAGCTCCCTAGATTTTGCAGATTAAATAAAAAAAAAAAGTAGTTGTTCCAAAACTGATTATTTCAGATCCTTTTTGGGGGACCCTGTGGCATAGTGAGGTAGTATGGTATCTTACACACCATTTTGTCAATTGGCTGGACAATTTTCTAGAAAAAGGTCGGCCATGGAAGAAGATCTCACTAACATTCCCTAAAGTTCATTTTCACTTTTGCAGTTACAATGGGATAACACATACTTTATAATTCAATGTCCCCATTCACATAGCATAACGTAAAACAAAATATTTAGATACTAGAGCTTACCTTTTTTAGATGTTCTATTCTGGACTCACCAGCAGGGGAAAAAATTCCACATAGTTCCCTTTGTTTGTGAGGGGGCACGGCAGCTGTGTTTGCCATAAATAACCTTGTCTGCACTGTGCAGGCAGATCTCCATTGTCAATTTTAACTTGATTTGACCACTGTCTGTCCTAACAAAGGGTTAAAGGTTTAGGGGCTGGGCTTCTTGCATCATATGTTATTGAGGTCTTACTGAGACAGACATACTCCAACAATACAGTCAGCCTGGACACTGTGTCTTGGGAAACATCTAAATGGTGAGAAATATTTTATACAATTTGGCATGCTGTAGGAATGGGAACAAATAAGCATACAGTGGAATTTTCTCAAATTTGACTGCAAAATTTGAAATTTGCTTTAACCACAAGCCTACAGGGCAGTTATACCCCCTTCCTGCCCAGGCCAATTTCCAGCTTTCAGCGCTGTTGCACTTTGAATGACAATTGCGCGGTCATGCAACACTGTACCCATATGAAATTTTTATAATTTTTTTTGTGACAGATAGACCTTTATTTTGGTGTTATTTAATCTAGTCTGGATTTTTTATTTTTTCTTAAACCAAAAACCACTGAAATTAAAAAAAAACAACTTTTTTCTTAGTTTTTGTTATAAAATTTTGTAAATAAGTGATTTTTCTCCTTCACTGATGTGCGCTAATGAGGCTGCAGTGATGGGCACTGATAGGTGGCACTGATGAGGAGGCACTGGTAAGTGGCACTGATAGGCATTGACAGGCATCACTGATGGGCACTGAAAGGCAGCAATGATATATGGCACTGATAGGCGGCACTGACTGGCACTGATAGGCGGCACTGATAGGCGGCACTGACTGGCACTGATAGGCGGCACTGACGGGCACTGATAGGTGGCACTAACTGGCACTGATGGGTGACACTGAAAGGCAGCTCAGATGGGCACTGATATGTGCCATTGATGTGCACTGGTAGGCACTGATATGTGACATTGATGTGGCACTGATGGGCACTGGCACATGGCACTGATGAGCATTGACAGGTGGCACTGCTGGGGATACACTGGTCATCAGGGCACACAGATCATCAGTGCTCTGATGATCAGTGTACATGTCCCCTCCGCGGAGTGCCGATTACCGGCTCTCCTCTCGAGCTGTCAGCGTGACAGCTCGAGAGGAGAGAAATGCCGATAACCGGCATTTCCCTGTTTACATGTGATCAGCTGTGATTGGACACAGCTGATCACATGACCAAGCCGGCATCTTTGGCTCTTTACATGGATCGGTGATCTCCTGTGTCCGAGGGACAAAGCACACCGCTGATCACCGCGCTGCGTGCTCCCTGAGCCGCGCATACACTGTGAGAATGTGAGGACGTCATATGACGTCCTCCCAGAACGAGAGAACCACCTTGCGCCCGTCATTTTACTATATAGCGGGCAGGAGGTGGTTAACCATTTGACGCCCGGCCTATGGCCAAATGGCGTCCGTAAAAATGTATTAGCTTTCAAGGAGGTTGCCATATGGCGTCCTCCCGCACATGCGCAGTTCGCTCGCTTGCAGAGCCGCGCAGCAGCGCGATCTGTCACCGGCCGTGTACCTCAGACACGGCCGATGACAGATCTGAGTATCGGCCCCCAATCACAGCAGGTCACATGACAGTTGTATACAATGGATGGCTTCATTTATGCCATCCATTGTATACTAGTGTCTAGCTGTGAATGGTCACAGCTAATCACATGCACATGTCATGTGATTAGCTGTGGCCAAATCACAGCTAAGCACAAAAAAAAAAACCCTGAGTGAATCGATGTCATTCAGGTAAATGCTTGCTTATAGCAAAGTAATTCTTTGCTATAAGCAACTTGTGTAAAAAAAAAAAAAAAAAAAATACTGATCGCTTCCCCAAAGTAGTACAATGTTACTATGGTAACATTGTACTACTTTGGACATAGTGAAATATGAAAAAAAATCTTAAAAAATTTTTTATAAAAAATTTAAAATAAAAAAAATATATATATATATTTTTTTTTTTTCACACTGGCACCAGTCAGTGTCCCTGATCACTGCCATGCCAGTTATATGATGATGCTGTACTGCACTGGTAACAGTATGTAAAAAAAAAATAGTGAAAATAATTTTTTTTATTCATTTTCCGAAAAATTATGACAAAAAAAATACAACTTCAAAAAACTCACCATGCTTCTTATGAAGTACGTTGGACTGTCTACTTTGCAAAAAGTGGTCATTTGGGGGATATCTATACTATTCTGACATTCTTGGACCTCAAGAAATTAGATTGGCTGTCAGTACTTCAGGATTGATCAATATTCAGATCTATACCATAGTTTGTGAACTCTATAACTTTCCTACAAACTAAAAAATACATCCTAATTTGGGTTATTTTCACCAAAGACATGTAGTAGAATACATCTTGGCCTAAATTTATGAAGAACAATTATTTATTTGCAAACTTTTATAACAGAAACAAAGAAACATGTTTTTTTTTTTTCAAAATTTTCGGTCTTTTTTGTTAATTTAGCAAAGAATAAAAACCCCAGTGGTGATTAAATACCACCAAAAGAAAGCTCTAGTTGTGTGAAGAAAATGATAAAATGTTAGTTTGGGTACAATGTTGTATAACTGCGCAATTGTCATTCAAAGTGTGGGAGCGCTGAAACCTGAAAAATGGCCTGGGCAGGAAGGTGTAAAATTGCACGGTATTGCTTTGGTTAAAGAGAAAGTCCATATTTTCTGAAATAAAAAAAAACTATTCCCACTGGGTGATCAATGTACATTGTGCAGGAATTAAAAAAAAAACTTTGCAGCAGATTCCTAACTTTTGTTTCTGTGAAAAAATAACTATTTTTTTTTTTCACTAGACTGATCACATACTTATTCTGAATGAGAGAGGGTCTGGTTCCTTATTAACCAGCTGATGCACTTTCTGTGTTCTAATGAGGAAATCTGCAGTGTCTGCATCCCTTGAGAAGTGATTAACTCTTGGGGAGTATCTCACCAAAACTGAAATTCCTATTGCAAAAGGTGCCTAAAATTTTATCTATCTTAGTGCAGATGTCTGGAAAAAATAGTGAGCCAAAAGAAAAATACGTTTCTGGAGGTGTTCTGTGCACCAACTATGCAACTGTTATTTAACCATTTGCCGCCCGGCCAATGGCCGTTTGGCGGCCGCAAAGTGCTTCGGCATTCCGGGTGCACGCCATTTGGCGTGCTCCCGCACATGTGCAGTTTGTGCTCCTGCAGAGCCACGCAGCAGAATACATCTCGGCCTAAATTTATGAAGAACAATTATTTATTTGTAAACTTTTATAACAGAAACAAAGAAAAAACGTGTTTTTTTTTGTTTTTTTTCAAAATTTTTGGTCTTTTTTGTTAATTTAGCAAAAAATAAAAACCCCAGCGGTGATTAAATACCACCAAAAGAAAGCTCTAGTTGTGTGAAGACAATGATAAAATTTTAGTTTGGGTACAATGTTGTATGACCGCGCAATTGTCATTCAAAGTGTGAGAGCGCTGAAATGTGAAAAATGGCCTGGGCAGGAAGGTGTATTGCCCGGTATTGAAATGGTTAAACACTTCCATATTTACCACATATGATCCAGGGCAATGTTCACATTTATGTGCCTATAGATTTCCACACGAAAATACTATCTTATGCAATCCATTTCAAAAGCAGTGGCCTGGCCCATTCTACTGCCACACCAATGCTTAAAGCGATTCTAAAGGTTCATTCTTTTTTCTTTTTTTTTTAACAAACATTTTATTCGTATCTGCTGTGTGCAGTGGTTTTTCACAGAGCAGCCTGGATCCTCCTCTTCATGGGTCCCCCACAGGCTCTCCTCTCCCCTCCCTCCTGTCAAGTGCCCCCACAACAAGCAGCCCCGTGTGTCCATTTGCATACAGAGCCGTGGCTTGGCTCCACCCCTCTCTCTCCTCATTGGCTGATTGGCTGTCACGGCTCCCGCTTGCTGTCTCAGCCAATGACGAGGCAGAGACCAGGGACAGCCGAAGCTGTCATGCGCATTGCTGGATCTCGATGAGGCTCAGGTAAGTATTGAGGGGGCTGGGGGCACTGCTGCACACAGGTTTTTTACCTTCATGCATAGAGTGCATGAAGGTAGAAAACCTTGAGCCTTTACAACCACTTTAAAAACCCTTTGTGATAGCAATAAACTAAACATTTTAAAAAATAAATTTAAATGTAAAAAAAATATTTTTAAAGCCCCTGGCCCTCACATACACACATATATGAACAGAAACATGCATGTTGGGTGTACCTATGTAAATGTGCACTACACACATGTAAATGTGCACTACACACATAGTCGGTATCAACGTTCATGCAGAGTATGAGGAATACATCTAGGGCTGAGAGTGAAATCTAAATGGTGGACATGCAGGAGCTTTTATAGCGCACCCTATGGACCATTCTAGGTACCATAAATATAAGGTTTGACATGTTTGATATCTATTTACTTAACATATCTTTTATATTTTAGCAAAAGCTGGGTAGTATATTGTGTTTGTGTGCATTAAAATTGATTTGAGGGTTTTTTTTACTGATGTAGCACCCACCTAGGAGTCGCTGAGTTTTGGGTCCCCTATAGTTCTGCTCAGTCAGGCAACACACATTTTGACAAAGCCTTGCACATGGGAGACAGTAAACAGTCCTAGAGGTGTTTTTTTTTTTTTTTTTATTAGGGGGTATTGAACTCAGATGGGGTTGAGGGGTGTATGGGATGCCCAAGAAATAGTAAACTGAAACAACTTCTTAACAGCTATGTACAAGTCCAAAGACAAAAAAATCTCTTTTTGGAGAGCTCTGCAGCCTCTCCTATTGTACCATCCCAGAACCCAGATGAATCCTCTCCTCATTCAGCTGTACTGGGTGAATCCCTGGGCAACGGGACCTGAAATTTTGTCTCTTTAAATCATGGTGATCACTGTGCAATTAGCTGAGAAAAAAAGCGCTAGGGCAGCACTTCTGAGAGTAGAAGCAGGCTCTGGTAAAGGAAAAAGGCAAAAAAGGTGCTTCCAAGTGCAATAGTTGTCAGCAATTAATAAAAATATGGGGGTTAAAACACTTAAACGATTGTAGAGTACATTAGGCTCATCATCAATCTTTTCTGTCATGGCTTCTGTCACTGTTTCTCCTCTCACTTGCCAACCAGCAGCTTCAGGGGAAGTTGAAGTGCAGGTCAAGATGGCCACCACCATTCCGGAACCACCGTGGAATGCATGCAGTGCATGTGGAACGCACATACTGGAATTTACGTCAGGAAAGGAGCTGTGAAGCGTTTCAGAGCATGCGTGAACGGCTCCTTCTTCAAGACCAAGAGGTCTTGAAGAAGCAAACTGCCTGCTGTCAGTTACAAGGAGCGAGCAAACCTGATGGGTAGGTACTGTCTCAGCTTCTCTCAGGTTCTACCCACTGCAACATCACTTGTTGCTAGGACCAATGACAAGGAGAGTGTAGCGATGGCAAATATGCCATTCTGGTACCGTGCCTACAGGGAAAGGCACTCTGCCTGTTTCTATATACCAATTTAGAGTGGGTCTTAATCACCTCCAGTTTCATTATCTAAGAACTGAAGGTAATTATTTCTTAGTTTGGTGTATTAATAGCTCTACTTTGTAAAAGTGGTGCTAATAAGAACTACCTGAATCGGCCCCACATATCAGTAAAGTTACCATTAAAAGTTTTTTTTAACACAGTACAGAAAAATGTGGGGATTATTGAAGTCCTCTGATAACTTTTTGGGGGTTTTAATAAGTCTTCAGGCGTAAAATGTGCATTTTAACATGTGTGCAGAAAAAAAGTTCTGTGGCAACTAAAGGGTTAAAATAGGTAATAGGCAAATATTTAAAAATGTACTGTAAAATTATTTTAGAGAAAGGGGAGTAAAGATTCACTTTAAAGAGACCCTGTCCTCAACTTAAAAACCTGCAGGTACTGTATAAGCACAGCAAATATCTGTGGTTATCCTTTAAGACAATTTCTCATAGTAACTAACCAGAAGTGAAGATTTGTTTCCTTTCTAGTATTAGAGGCTTTAATAATGAGTAAATGGTTTCATTGTGTAAATTCTGCACAGAGTCTCTCCAAATGAGCCATTTTTGGAAAGTAGACACCCGAGGAATTTGTAGAGAGGCATGTTGAGTCCATGGAAGATTTTATATTTGCCACAAATGTTTGGAAAATTACTTTTTTTTGTAACACAAAGTTGTCACTTACATGATAT